TTCTGCTCTTCATCTGGGCTTTGGGAGCTCAGTCCAGTGCTCCCATGGGGGGAAGTGGGAGGAGTGAGAGGGAAATGGGAGGATAGGAGGAGGTGGAAATTTTAAATAAATAATAAATAAATAAGTAAATAAATAAAGCCAAAAGTTAAAAGTAAAAATAAAAGAAATAGAGTTTAAATAAAGCCACGTAAAGATGAAAAAAATACACAGAGAATCTGGCTAATGCTGACATCTTGATTTAACCCATCTCTATTAATCTGTGTATCACCACAAGGCTGTGGCTAACTGGGTAAAGTTCCACTGTCTCTCTCCAGTGGGGCTACATGGTTTCTCTCCCTGACTCTACCTTCTTTCTGTCAGCATTCAGTTTAGTTTTCCCTGCCTAGCTCTGTTCTGCCTTGCTTTATAGGCTGAAAGCAGTCTCTTTATTAACCAATGGTATTCACAGCATACAGAGGGGAATTCCACATCAGTAGATAAGTTGCATTTCTTTAACTCTGTGAATCAGTGTTACTTTGCCTGTCTAAAAGACATGATTGGTCTAGTGAAGAGATGAATGACCAGTAGCAAAGCAACAGGAGGAAAGATGGGGCTGTCATCCAGAGAGAGTATATAGAAGGAGAAGAATGTGGAGTGAGGAGCAAAAACAAGGAGAGAGAACACCTGGGGCCAGCCATACAGCTATACAACCAGCAATGGGGTAAGAAAGAGATATATACAATAGAAAAATACAAAAGCCCACATAATGTGGGAGGTCCTTCTGTCTATGTGCAGCTTTTATTGGTTAATGAATAAAGAAGCAGGCTTGGCCTGTGGGCAGACTAGAGCTAGGTGGGGAAAACTAAACTTAATGCTGAGAGAACGAAGGCATAGTAAGAGACTAGCCATGAAGCCCCACTGGAGACAGACTCAGGAACTTTACCTGGTAAGTCACAGCCTCATAGTGATACACAGATTAATGGAGACGGGTTAATTTAGGATATGAGTTAGCCAGAAATACGCTTAAGCTATTGGCCAAACAGTATTGCAAATAATATGGTTTCTGTGTGATTTGGGGGCTGAGCAGCCCGGAGCTAACTAGTGGCCTCCTACAACACCCACAGGCAAAGGGTAGATGGGATAATTTAAGAAAAACTGGCTAGAAATAAACCAAACTAATGCCACGCTGTAAGACTAAATCTCTGTATTGTTATTTTTATATATTTATATTTTTATATTTTATTATTATATATCTCTGTTATTATTTGGAAACTGGGTGGTTGTCTTCCCAAAGGGCAAAGAATGAAAAACAACCAACAACAGAGAAGAGGAATGTACAGAGTCCTTTGGATATATACTAAAGAGTGGGGTACCTGTATCATGGGATAGGGGTATTTCTAGCTTCTTGAAGAACCTCCACACTTATTCTCCCAGTGGTCGCACCATTTTGGACTACCATCAACAGTAAGCATGTGTTTTTCTTTCATTGCTTATATGCTGGTATGTGTATCAATTCTTTTTTTATTTTTCTGGTTTTTCTTTAATGTTAGGTATTCTGAATGGGTAAGAGGAAATCTTAAAATAGTATTCATTTGTATTTCCCCAAAGATGAAGGATGTTGAATGCTTTTTAATAAAAAATTTCTTTAGCCATTTATATTTCATATTTTTCAAATAAAATACCCTCTGTTTAGTTCCTTGTCCTGTCTTTTAATTAGGCTCTTTGTTTTCTTGATTTTAGCATTGGCCACATATCCTGTGAGAAACTCAAGGACACAAAGTTGAAACAGGATGTGCTTAAGGGGGTGAGATTTGGAGGGCCAATGCAGTGGGAAGATATAACTAGAACACATTATACATATGCATGAAATTCTTATGGAATAAATAATAATAGCCCCAAATCTAAAAGTGCTAAATGAAATGAAGAGAAAATTGAATTTCTAATACATTACCAAAAACACACAATAAAAGAATTGGCAGGAAAATAGTTTACAGCAAAATGAAAATCTTCTGTACAGTAAAGGAAATAAAAACAAAGGGACAATCTGGAGGTTGTCAGAAAACATATCCAAACTAATTATAGGGATTAAGAAAGAATAAAGTTATCCTTTCCTTCCTTTCCTCCCTCCTTCTTTCCCTCCCTCCCTCCCTCCCACCATCCTTCCTTCCTTCCTTTCTTCCTTCCTTCCTTCTTTTCTTTCTTAATTTCTTTCTTCCTTTTTTTTTTGCAGTGCTAGTGATCAAACACGTGGTCTTACACACACAGGGCAAAATGTCTAGCTCTGAGTGACATTCCCAGTACCTGTTAATTATTTTATTCCCTAAATACCTAACTTTATATACATTCAGCAAATGGGAGCAGAGATAAGGGCATTTTAAAATTTGTGATATTAAAATGTCTGAGATTTATAATTTATTTAAAAATAATAGTTTCAAACCACTCTCAAGACCATCTCTGCTCCTCCTTGCATCATCTTTTATGTTATTAAGAAAAAAGATTGACTTGTAGAAATCAAACAACAGTTGAGAATTACAAACAGGATTTCAAACAAACAGCCTTTCATTTTAAATTCTCAACACTCTGAGTCAATTAAAGGTATTGGCCAGGCAATAATAATCAGAAAACATGGCTACCCGGAGGGGGCAGCTTTCTTTTGTCATAGACATAATTTTATTGTGTTATTATTTAATCGCATTCAGATATTTGCTTAAGACCTAAAGATTCTTGAATTTGCAAGTTCCTTACCAACAGACTCAGTAAGTCATTTTGAGAAAGTCATGGAAACAAAATCTTAATCGATAGTGACTTTAAACTAATTAGAAGTATACCACATCATCTTCTGAAGGCCCCTTGGGACTGCATAGGATTTAGCCCTAGAAAAGTTCCTGTTTCATTCTTAGTCATAATTTGGCAAAGCAGAGATACTCACATGCTTACCAAATTGGCCAGATGGAAAGGCTGATTCCATATCACAACAACTCCTTGGTCTTGATCTCCACGAGTTTGTTGTCCTTCCTTATGTACAGACCTGATTCTTCCCTGCCCAGAAAGACACACCCTAGTGTAGGTCCTTCTGCACCAAGGACCCTTTAGACAGGTAAGAAGTAATTTTCCCACATCAAAAATGTTTCATGGTGGAGTATCACCAAAAAAGTGCTTTGTGAAACAGAACCTCCTCCCCCCCCAAAAAACAAACAAAAAGCAATTCAAACTGTTTTGCACCCCATCGCTAGCAGAGATAAAAGAATGATAACAGCACATTTTAGGATATTTTTATACTTTCCTCAATTGTCGCTTGACAGATGCATGCAAGGGTCTATGAAACTTGAAGACTCACAATTTTGCAGCATAAAAATAAATTCCTTGGGGTTCATAATGAATTTTAGTACCAACAAACACAGCAGGAAGAGAATAACATCTCGACCCAGCACTATTGCTAATTCACATGCACGTCCCTGTAGAATTTGCCAAAATTCCTTAGAAAATGGACTGGATAAAACTTCGTACTGTTTTTAGTAAAGCTAACTCTATGAAAGATAATATTCCAATAGCAACAATTTTCTTTCCTCGGAAATCTTGAAAGATTTTTAAAGTAGACTAACTAACCACAGACATGCTTGAGAGATGCATCTTTAAAATTCTATCTTCACTAGGAAATTCCCCATAAACTGTGCTGATTTTAAAGACCTTCTGCTTGCCTGGTTTAAAATGTGGGCTCTTGTAGTAAATTTGACAGTTTGGAGAAGCTTAAGGACTCAGGGTAAATTAAATTAACGAAGTTTCCTTCTGACATTTCCAGCTAAGAGGGCCTGCACTGCTTCTTTGCCTACATCTTTTGTTAGCAGCCGTGCCGAAATGGTGGCAGAGTTCTTCATTCCCCACGTCAAAGCGGGGGCATTTGATTTTAGAATGTTGTCTGTCACTCACATTCCTTGTTAGTTACTTGATGAGCAAAGTATTTAAGAAAAGATCAAAATTTTCCTTAGAGACAGTCTTCTCCAACCTTAGCTTACTCATCTACCCAAAATTAGAATAAATTTATCTTTGACATTAATTGCTTTAAAAGTCAAGTAGATTTTTCAGAGTCATAAAAACAATTCTGGATTTCTCTTAACTCTCCTATCTAAATCTGCCCCAAACTTAAATATGTGGTCCAGAACCTGGTAAGAGGCAAGGAATGAGATTAGAACTTGTTATCCTAGTTTGAAGCCAACTTTGGACATCATGAATGAGGGGAGAGTAGAGAATGGGTGTATGTATGGGAGAGTTTGGAGGGAGGAAAGTGAAGGGTAAATGCTGTAATCATATTATAATATCAAAAATAAAAGATTATTTTTAAAGAAAAGCCTTTGATTATTAAAAAAAACAGTGCATGGGCAGAGAATCAAAAAGTGTTGAAATTCCAATCATTGAACTATTTTTCTATAAATTTTGATTACATTTTTATGTTTTATGCTCATATGCTCAGAAAAAAATTCTTCATAATGTTATCAATTGAAAATGTATTTAATGAGACCTTATTTCAAGTTCATGAAGGCCAATTTAGTTCTTATCTTTTTATGAAAGATATTTGAGATACTTTCTCAAGGTAGCTTTTTAATCCATTATAATTGATCAGAATTTTCTAGAATTCACACAATTAAGGGTATTGCTACATCCATTTATTTCAAATTGTTTAGCTTTCTGAGCATATAGTATTTGAACATCATTCTAGTTAATAAATTTAAAAATCTTTGCTATCAAACTAACCAATAAATATTAATGTTTTAATTTATCTTTTTAGTAAGTTTTATATTATATATCAAAACTGTGTAATAAAAAAATAAAAGATAATACTCTATTCCAGCTGTGACTTTCTGCTAAGAAATTCACAAACAAGCAAAGGACATATTCTTGCCTGGGGAATATTATATCCTCAGACACCAAGACAAGTATGGAAAACAACTAAAAAGCAATGTGAAACATGTCGTTTTCAGATTTCAATGTTTATAGAACTATCATGAAATCTTGTTAAATTGTAGATCTGGTTCTGGAGAGCTGGGAGGAGGAGCAAAGCTCCTGATTTCTATCAAGTTGGGAATGTTGGCTCCATTGTCTCCTGCAGTTTACCTCAAGCAGCAAGGAGACTGCAAGGTATGAATGACACTCCGCCATCGCAAATTGTATGACTTCATCCTTCTAGACTCTATTCATTGTATGTGGAAAGAACTGAATACATCAAACACATATGCTATGCCTTTTGTAACTCTAACACATTGATCTCTATGAGCACATAGAAACGTATTTTTTCTTAACATTACTTGTAAATTAAATTTCAAAAGTTAGCTAGCATGGATTTTCTTTCACTGCCCTCTCTCCTAGTTCTTCTCAGGGTCTATAATGTGAACATATTTTGAATATTAATGTATTGAGATTATCTTGACTGATGGAAACCATTGACATTCAAGTTGTACACATCAAGTGTGAAGTGTTAATTCCTTAACAAAATTCAGTTATGATTATTAAATAATTTCTTATTTATACAAATGAAACATCTGGAGTTGGATATTTTAATATTGCCTAATAGGAAGATAACAACTTTTTGAAAGTTGATTTTCAACTCTACAGTATATTTCGAAGTATTGGTCGAAGGAGTCTAGGAGATCCACAAACAATATAGACTATTGAACAAGCAAACCAAAAGGAAAGAAAGAAAAAAAAGGAGAGATGATTTCCTAAAATATTGCCATTCATGGTTTAAACAGTGGTTGTAGAAAGAGCTTTTATTGTTTCTAAGAAACATTCATTGGTAGCAAAACAATGATGTTCTTTAAAAGTTCTACCAGAATAGTCTACTTATTTTTTTTATAATATACAGAGAAAGTAGCACTCTTACACACACACACACAAGCTGCAGAAAGAAATGGTCTTGGAAGCTGATTCCTAGTAAAGACTGTGATTTAACAGGACCCAAACTAGAGCCATTGCATTGTTTGATATGCGCCTCTCACTCATTGTCCTGCAGTCGCTCCAACTCTCGCTTTGTGCTATCCTTCTGACCTGGCCTTGGCAACTGCAGGATTGAATTTATACATATCAGAAAATAGGGTAAAGCTACCTTTCCAGAGCATTGGTCTGTTTTCCCAGCTTACAGAGGCTGCAGACTTTAATTTTCAAAAACATTATTCCCACTCAGGAATCGCTAACACTCTTATTCCCCATGGGAGTGTTTGGAGGAAATCTTAGGATAATGAGAACTTACTGTGGGAGCAAAGGGTCAGAGCAAGAGCGAGAGATTAAAAACAACTTTAAAGTCACCTTTTACAACAATGTATTAGCAGCCAAGGAAAAGAACAGGTAGCAGAGAGTGCTTTTGACACTGACTATAACTTCATGCCTAGCTTAAGAGGCAGGGGAAAGGGACAATTTTAGCAGCAGCAGGAAGCTATTACTTTGCCTGAGCTACAGAGAAACGGAAAAATGCCAACAAATAGGGCTTGCCAAAATTAGAACCACATCACTGTATCCTGTGGTAAGCGACAGCCATGAAAATCAAGCACCGCCTGAGTTAAAACCCCAGGAGAGGAGAACACACAATAAACACAGGCATGTCTCACTTTCACTCCCCTGACACACACGCTCTGCCTAAAAACATCTACAAGTCCACATTTGCTTTCATCCTCAGTGGTCTTTTTTTTCTTTATTTTTTAACATTATGCATTATATTTCCTTTTTGAGGGGGTGGGAGGGAGAGTACCCGTATTATTTCAGTTTATATGAATTTCAGTGTGCAGATTCTATTTATTAAAATTTAACATTAGTTCATATCTTAATTCTTTCCTCCAAAGCAACATATTTTCAATTCTCTTGGCTTTGGTACTATTTTCTTTAACTTATGATTTTAAGGTCGTTTATACATCAGACAATATTGGTGTTGCTTTTTGTGCTGCAATGAAAACAGCTCGCTGTATTCTACCTCGTTTTCTGAGTCCTCCCCTATTTTCCCACACCATCTTCTTGATCCCATGGAAACATCAATATCACCACTGTGAAGTGGTGAAAACAGAATAAAATAATTAGTTTACCCATGTTCATACCAGCAAAGGTACTGATACCAAGAAAGATGGGTGTCCAGAGAGTTAGCTTACAGTTATGCTGAAGGATTAACTATAAATGGTTCTCCATATAATTGTAATATATTAGCCTGTGTGTACCTAACAATTCTGTCTGTCCCCAAACTTTTTCTCTCTCTCTCTAGAATTTATTGCTTGTGGCTTTTCCATCACAAAGTTCAGCTTTTATCACTTAAAAATGTCTGGTTTCCTTCATTCTTGAAAGAGACAATTTTCATTGGTTATAAATTTTAGGTTGTTATCGTACAACATACCAAAGATATCCTATTATGTCTAAGATTTTGCTGGATTCACAAAAAAGTCAGTTGCTGATCTCTTTCTCATTGTTTTGTTAATAATCCAAATTGCTTTTTGAATGCTTTTGTGTTTGGTATTTAAAATCCACTGTCAAGTGTTTAAACATGGGCTTATTTTATTTGTATTTTTATTTCCTCTGACACTGTACTTCTTATCAGTTTTAAATTATTGAGCTTCTTGCCAATAATTTTCTTGCATTTTTTTCCTTTCAGGTTGTAAGAAGTTCTTCCTATTGTGTCTCTTCTTTCCCTTTAAATTCTGTCTTAAATTATCCTGGACTTTAATCTTCTATCATTCTTTCCATTTCTTTTCTGACACTTGATAAATGCTAAATGCTTTCTTCAGTTTTAAGTCTAATTTAATATAATTATTTTTAATTGATTTTAATTTCTTGGATTTCTTTTATTTCTGTCTCAATCATTTTGATCTTATTATTTTAGTGTTCTTTATACTACTATGGAAGATCTAAATTTATATTAAGGATTGCCTTAAAGGCCAGATTTTGCATTCAGAATTTTTGATGTTTTTTATGAAGTCTTGGTTATATTGCTTCTGTGTTTTAAATTCTACCAGGCTGTCATGTTTGTCTTGAAGCTTTGTGTGTATATATGTGTACATGTTGATTTGTGCATGTACACATGTGGAAAGTGTCTTCCTTGGTTGCTTTTTTTATTTGTAGGGATATTGAACCTAGATTTCTTCAATTTAGACTCTCTCATCAACAATTCCAAGGGGTCTTCTGCCTTCACACCCTATCCAATTCTGGGATAACAAGACAATGTTATCACGCTCAGCTTTTTGTGTGAGTGAGAAGCATCTGACCCTGGGTCATCACACCTGTGCAGTAAGCCATTTTGCAGACATTATTTTAGCTCTCTAACTTGAGACTGGCTTCATGAGGTGCTCTGAAGTTTGAGACACTGTCCTCCAGAGCAATTCTACATTTCTTCTATTGTGTAGTGTTCAGAACTAAGCAGCCAATTAGATGGTTTTAGTTTGCATATGACACTCAGGGGTGAACTCAAGTTGCCCAAAGGTCTGTCTTATGTGTTATTTAAGGAATGTGCATTTCCTTTCTGCTCAAGAGAAATGTCACAGCACAAGCTTGTCTTTCGTCCTTCCCTTTTTATGCGGTAGGAAAATGAAAGTATGTCTAGTTCTGTCTTGCTCTTTGGTTAGAGCCCTTTAAAATACAAAGATCAATAGGTAGTGATACTTCTGTACAAAACCTGCAAAATATGTAATAACTAATTTTCAATTCCTTTGATTCATACAAAATCTACTTAAATTATCTTTGGGTTCCTAAAGTCACCCAGACTGTGACTTTAGAATCCCTTATTTTCAAACTAAAATACAGATAGAATCAGAAGATATTTTTCATTTATTACAAAAAGACTTATTTTATTAAGGAAATTATTCATCCAGAACATGGTACAATGCTGATAAGGATGGGAAAGGGTCACATTCCCTTTAGATGAAACTAAGACTGGGTACATCAATGCCCAAGGAATTTGAGCCAATTTATGTTTCAAAGACAATTGTATCTATTTTATATTTATTTTAAAAGTGCCTGCTGTTAATTGACTCAGAGTCAGCACATACTCTTTACTTATTCCCAGGTTATTAGAAGAAATATGTATTTATCTATCTATTTGTCTCTTGGTTTATTCATAATAAGAGAACCAAGCACAAACCAGCCGTCCTGAAAATAACCAGATATATTTTGATCCCCAAACCTTATTTTAGTATTCTTTGGAAAAAGACAAAATATAGATGAATGTTATGTTTGCTTAAAACTCCATGCCATATTTACATTCTATAGCTGACTCTCAATATTTGTTAAGTACTGACAAGGTAGCAAATCTCTAAATAGATACAAACTACCTAGGTGAAATTTGTACAACTATTGACTTTTTCTTTTTTAAAAAATATATTTATTTTACATAAAAACCATAGTTTCCTCCTTCGTCCACTCCTCCTGTTCCTCCCTACCTCCCTCCAACACATCCCCATTCACTCCTCAGAAAGGGAGTCAACAGACCTGGCACATTAAACTGAGGCGGGACCAATTCCCTGCAGCATCAAGACTGAGCAAGGCATCCCACCATATGGAACATTTCTCTTAAAACTTAGACAGCTAGGCAGTGGTGGCACATGCCTTTAATCGCAGTACTAGGGAGGAGAGGCAGGCAGATCTCTGTGAGTTCAAGTCCTGCCTAGTCTACAAAGCAAATCCAGAACAGCCAGTTCTGTTAAACAGAGAAACCTGTTTCGAAAGAAAAAAAGAAAGAAAGAAAGAAAGAAAGAAAGAAAGAAAGAAAGAAAGAAAGAAAGAAAGAAAGAAGGAAAGAAAGAAAGAGAAAGAAGGAAGGAAGGAAGGAAGGAAGGAAGGAAGGAAGGAAGGAAGGAAGGAAGGAAAGAAAGAGAAATAGATGGTTTTTGTGCATTTATCAACTTTTCCTAAATGTTCTCTCAGTAAAATACTTTCTTAATATTTCCATGTAGAATAGCATTTTGGTTCTGGCTAGTCCTACTGGTAAATACAATAGAAATTATAAATATTGCGTGTAAATTTTCTGTCACTATAATGAAATACCTGATAGAACTGATTTACAAGAGGAAAGGTTAATTTATTTCACAGTTCTTGAGGTTCCAGCCTACAAGTGGATGAACCTATCACTTGAAGTCTCTGATGGCGTTGTCGCTAGGCAATGATAACTAGCC